TCCTGTTTTGTTGCAAATAAATGTTTACATGTTTTAAAGCACTTTAGCTACTGTTAATATTTTAAATATGCCAGTTATGTTGTAAATAAATGTTTGGATATTTAAAACACTTACTGCTTGATCCTTCCCCTGAATCTGTGTCTGGGGTAACGGCTGGGGAGGGTTGGTAGGGGATCTCTGTCAGGGTGATGAAGAGCTCCTGGCTGTCGGGCAAATCAGCGTTGTAAGCGCTGTCTACTGCCTCGTCCTCCTCATCTCCTTCCTCCTCTTCCCCGTCCGCTGAGGAACCGGCCGCGGACAATATCCCATCCTCAGAGTCCACGGTCAGGGGTGGGGTAGTGGTGGCGGCCGCACCTAGGATGGAATGCAGTGCCTCGTAGAAACGGGATGTGTGAGGCTGGGATCCGGAGCGTCCGTTTGCCTCTTTGGTCTTCTGGTAGCCTTGTCTCAGCTCCTTGATTTTCACGCGGCACTGCGTTGCATCCCGGCTGTAGCCTCTCTCTGCCATGGCTTTAGAGATCTTCTCATAGATCTTTGCATTCCGTCTTTTGGAGCGCAGCTCGGAAAGCACGGACTCATCTCCCCACACAGCGATGAGATCCAAGACTTCCCGATCCGTCCATGCTGGGGCCCTCTTTCTATTGGATTGCACGGCCATCTCTGCTGGAGAGCTCTGCATCGTTGCCACTGCTGCCACTGCTGCTGAGCTCGCCACGGTGTCCAAACAGAAACTGCGCTTCAAACTGCCCAGACAGGAAAAGGAATTCAAATTTTCCCGGGGTGTGGCTGGTCAGAGCATCCGAGCTCGGACTGCTGTCCAGAGCGTCAACAGAGTGGTGCACTGTGGGATAGCTCCCGGAGCTATTACCGTCGATTTCCATCCACACCTAGCCTAATTCGATATGGCCATTTCGAATTTAGCGCTACTCCTCTCGTTGTGGAGGATTACAGAAATCGATTTAAGGAGGGCTCTATGTCGAACTAAATGGCTTCGTGGTGTGGACGGGTGCAGGGTTAATTCGATATAACGGCGCTAAATTCGACATAAAAGCCTAGTGTAGACCAGGCCCCAGACTTCCAGTTTGGGAAGCTAAACAATTTAAAGGCACAGTTCCAAAATCCACAGTCTGTAGCTACTAGGTTTTGTAGGTTTCTCTTGTCCTTTGCTTCTTAGATCATATGGATGTACTCAGATACTTTTGTTCCTGGAATGGAATGTCTTCTGCATATAAGGCTGGAGTGGGATTCCCTCCAAGGAACAAAGTGCTTGTGTACTTCAGCAATGGGAGCTATTATAAAGAACTATGAAGCTTAAATACAAGTGGCAAAATAGAGGCTAGAAGTGATCTTTAAATTAAGGACCTGCATTTGAGGCTTCAGGGTCTCTCTGCACATAGATTATGAGGGTTAAGTCTGGAGAACAGGCCCTTAAACTTGGCCAGGAATGGGCTATTGTAGAGTGACCAGATGTCCTATTTTATAGGGACAGTCCTGATATTTGGGGCTTTTTCTTATATAGGCGCCTATTACAGCCTCCACCCCCTGTCCCGATTTTTCACACTTGCTGTCTGGTCACCCTAGGCTATTGTTGACCATGATAAGAACACTTATCCTTTTGCAGGAGGATAGTATGTGAAAGCCAAATTGCAGTGTATCCAAGAGGGAATAAAAGAAGATGTTGAAGTCGTCAGTGTAGACCACATGTACAAGGAGTTTAGAGGTGAAGGAGAGGAGGGATATGAGACAGATGAAGACAGAATTTGAGTCAAGATGCTGTGTAACTCCCAGTTTTTTTGTTTGTTTTTCCTTTAAATTATTTATTTTCCTATCTATAGCTCTATGAGGCTACAACTGAAGTCTGAATCTTGCAAAGATTTTCTGCCTGGCAGAAAGGACTATTTGTGTTTAGAGAGAAAAGCGGGGTGGTGGTTTGTTTTTTGTTTTGTTTTGTGTTTTACTGCAAAATGCCAGAAATTTTCACACCCAGCCAACCAGAACTGGTGAAAAGCCAAAAATGTACAGGTTTTGCTTTGGATATGAAAATATTTGCACAGTTTTCATAAAGACTTAGGTTTTCAATTCACAAGATAATATCCCTGTTGCTAAGTCCTTTTGTATTCTGTTTGATAGCTCTAGTGATGTGCCATTAACATCTGATGGTTAGAAATAGGCATGTTTTTAGAGTGAGCTGTCTTAATCAAAGACGGTGACCATGAGAAATGTTTGAGAAAAGAAAGCCTTCTATTGTGGCTAAATAAAACTTTCATTGGGAAGGGAATGTAGATTAATCTCATCACACATTGACCTATCCAAATTAGTGGGCAACTGCAAACCTGGTACAATTAGGAGGTAAATAGTATTTGTTATTTTATATAGTGCGAAGTGCATGCTGGAAGCTTTGCAGTTGGGTATGAAATCAGGGAGGGGGGGCTGATTCCAGTGTGTGTCTCCTGTAAATTTGGATTAATTCTATTGGAGTTAATAGAGTTGTATCAGTATAATTGTGGTGTGAGGTCAGACCCATCTCAAAGTCTCTACCTTGAAGTGCTTACAATCTATATATCATGTGGTTTTCTCTAGCATGCGGTGGGGATTATTTATGTAGCTTTTATCATCTTGTTCTTTCAAACACTGAAAGACTTTTCATTCAGTAGAAACTATACTCCGGGGGAAATCTGTACCACTGTGCATGCGCAGAATTTATGTCCCCGGCAGATATCTTTGCTTCCACACAGAACAATGATTTTCTGATGGGGGAGCAAAGGGAAGCCATAAGAGCAGTCGTGCGACCCTCCTCAGCAGTATGTTTTGGGTGCCCAGGGCAGCCGGCAGAGAGGTAAATCACTATGGGGCAGAGAGCGGGACCAGGGAAGACCGGGCTGGTGGCTCCTACCCTGCACTGACTCTTCCCCTGCATAGCATCCAGGGCTGTGTCAGACCCACCCCCAGATTTCTCCCTCATCTGTAGGAAGCTCTGCAAACTCTACCCCCCATGCTTCCTGCACCCATCGCTCCTCAGCTGCAGGGACTGGGATCCCTGTACAGGGAGCTGCTCCCCCATCTGCCCAACATGCATGCATCCAGACCCCCTCATACCCAGACCCTCCTGTCGAGCCTCACCCATCCCCGCACCCAGAACCCCCTCCGAGCCCCACTCCCCCTGCACCTGGATCACTCCAATGAGCCACCCAGACCCAAATCCCCACCCTACCAAGCCCCAACCAGCTGCACATGGATCACTGCCCCACTGAGCTCCCCACACCCAGATCCCCCTGCTGAGCTCTATCACCCCCACACCCAGACCTCTCCCTGATGAGCACCAACTACCTTCACCTGGACCCCCTGCAGAGTCCCATTACAGTTGCACCCACAACCCCCAACAAGCCCCCGTGCATCCAGATTCCCCCCCCCCAGACACACACGGATTTCCCCACTGAGCCGCCCACACCCAGATTGCCCGACACAGAACCCTCTCAACCCACATCTGGATCCCCCACACTAAGCCCCTCCACCCTTGAATCCTGTGTTGCTGAGCCTGCCTGCCCACACCTGGTGCACCTGGCATGGAGGGGCAGGGCCGGTCCTTGTGCTGTGTCAGGGTTGGGTACAGCCTCACCACTGAGTCCATGTTCGGGGGGGGGGGAGGGCAGGATGCACAGTGATCTCCCACCTCCGTGCCGCCAGTGGCCTCTGCTCCCCAATGTCATGCTTGGAGCCTCCGCGTTTATTTGACAAATAAATAAAATTTGCAGAATTTTAAAATATTGTGTGCAGAAATTTAAATTTTTTGGCGCAGAGTACCCTCAGGAGTAAAACTAGAGAGAGGCTCAGACCAGAAGCCTGGATCTGAATGTTTGAAGACTGGATGTTCTTCTAAAAGATATGCTCTAGAAATTATTTTGGGGAAGGTCTATGGCCTGTGTTATACAGGAGGTCAGACTAGATGATCACAGTGGTCTGTTCTGGCCTTGGTTTCTATGAATATCCACCAAAATTTGAGATGATCAAAATCTTAACCTGGTTTGGAATCAGACTTTACAAATGGCTCCTGTCTTTCATCTTGGCCAAACCAAAACCCTGGATTCAAATCCTTCTAGTGGATCTGAAGCATCATCCAGATTTTGTATCTTGCACTCATGGTTGATGCACCTGAAAAGTTGTGCTCATCAAAAGTATTTTAAAATAAACTGTGAAGGAGTGGAGGATGAAGGATATTTGGCTTTGTTTTTGCTTAGTGACAATTGTTTTGTTTTAATGGAAGCAGGTTAGGTTGTTTACCTTAACCTGCAATCTAGATAGCTATACACTCCATCGATAAGTTCCTAGTTAAAGGTAATGAGCCAGGCTTGCTGGTTGGTTTTAGGGTCTAAGTGGCAAAAACCCTGTTATGGGAAGAGTAGGTTGCAGTGGTGCAAAGCTGACACTGTCTGTAAGGAGTTACTTGGTCAACTGTAGTGGGGCCAGTGCAGCCCCAAAAGTAGGGGGCTTTGGACGGAAAAGGTATATATCCAAGGCAGCTGGGGAGTGTGCTGATTCAGTGTGTCCCTCAACACCACCTTCTGTGTGGAGTTCTTGTGGAGTCCTTTGCTGGAAACTTGAGGGAGGGTGGCAGCTGAAACATCCCCTGCCTTAATTTGGAGTGAATGCCTCCTGAAACATAAAGGGGCCTTGCTAACACAGGGAGGTGTATCTTACACCTTTACCCCAGAATCTGACCCCATTTTATGCATATTACACATATGAAAATATGGTATGTTGCATTTAAGTTCACCGACAGCTGAATTAGTATGTGGTTTTGCCTGAGTAAGGGCTGCAGGATCCAGCGTGAATGTTCCAGCCCCAGTGTATGCAAAAATCTAGTAAACCATGTAATAACATTAACCATTTTTTGTACTGGAATCTGTTTGAAGTTTTCTTTGAACAGTTTTTCTCTGTTACCAATTTTATTTACACTGAGGTTGGTTTGTTCTTTAACTGTTAATGTTCTGTTTGATTACCAGGCATCAGAAGAAGTGTCAAAATCACTGCAAGCAATGAAGGAAATTCTGTGTGGTACTAGTGACAAGGAGCCGCCTACGGAAACAGTGGCTCAACTGGCACAAGAATTATACAACAGTGGCCTGCTAGTGACACTTATAGCCAACTTGCAGCTGATAGATTTCGAGGTAGGTCAATATTAGTTCTCTGAAAGGAAGAATTCCATCTTTTTGATCCTGATATTGTCATTTAGCTTAGTTATAGTTTCCTAAAGTTTAACTGATTTGTGTAGCTAGGTCTTCCCAACACTCACTTTCACTGTAAACTTTTAGACATGCTGAAAGATGGGGGCTTTTTTCAATAGAGCATTCCTCTGTTGTTGTGTAGTGATCAATATGCTGATATACACAGGTGCCCTCTCTGTCTTAATTACACATGATGCATTAGATTCTTTCTTGGCATAACTCTATGGAGTATCAGAATGACCAAATGATGGACTATTCAGATGCGTAAGGCAATGGGATGCAAAATACTATTGAAAATATTATAATGCTCTTATATACTTCAGTGGTGCACCCTCACCCTGAGTAGGTTAAATTCTGGTCTCACTGTCTCTGAAAAGATACAGGGGATTTGGATACAGAATGAAAATGACTGGAGCCATAGAAACATTTCTTTATGAAAAGAGACTGAGGGGATTGAGACAGCTTAGCTGATAGAGGTATACAAAATAACGAATGGCTTGATAGATTGGATCAATCCTATTTTCATTTCTCAGAGTAAAAGAATAAGGGGACATTAAATAAAATGGCAAGGCAGCAAACTGAATATTGGTAAAATAAGGGAATACGTAACTCGTAATTAGCCTTGGGAATTCATTGCCACAGTATAACATTAAGGCAAAGAACTGGGAATAATTCAGAAAAGGATTAGATTTTCATAGGACAATGAGAATATCTCCATTTACATTAGAAATTATTAAAAATAATTTAGGATAGATATAAACCCTCATAACCAATCTCTGACTGATGCAGGTTGGGAAGACACTTCCCCGTAGGGAGATTATTCTAGAACTTCACTACAGCATTTCTTGCACTACCTATGAAGATGCTGTCAAAGACAAGATCCTGGACTAGAGAGGCTACTGTTCAGATCCAATATGGAAATTCCTGTGTTCCCACTTGCTCGGATGAATCATCACAAATAATTCAGCTTGTTGGTGCAGGGTTAGAACTCAGGAATTCCGTACTTCCAGTCCTACAGGATGCTCACACAATGCCTCCCGTTAGCCACAGTTTGAAGTAGGGGCACTAACTGAATGTGTTGTATGGGGAACCTCAGAAAGTAAAACCAGGTTCCAGGGAGCATCATCCTTTTAGCTTGTTTCCCAGGGGTGATTCTGTGCAATCCTGTGGGAGTCACCTTTTGTGAGAGTTCCTGTGGGGAACTGTCCCCCATTTAATGCAAAGAACCATTTGTTGTGCTGTTACTTTCCGCATCCTTTGAAAATGAATCAAGAGGAGGAACATTTTCCTCTGAGTGAAACCTGAAGTCCGTTAGAGCTGTAACGGTGGCTTTCACGAAATGCTGTAAGAAAAAAATACTTGTGGTATTTCACTGGAAAATATGAAAAATATGCTCCTTCTCATGGCATTTCAGTGAGACTTAATGTTCCTTTTGCAGTATTAAATGGCATAGCCGTGGGAGATTTATGTTCTAGGGATAGATTATTTTCATTTACTTTTTAATATAAAAATTCCATTGTTAACACAAGTTCCTTCCTCTCCCTCTATTCTGGAGCTGAGAGGTTTCTTGATCATAGAATTTCTTCAGTTGTTGTTCTCTTGCTATTGCTAAATGTGTCAGTCTCTAAATGTTTTCTTTAAAATCAGAAAAATAATCCCATAGTTCGCAAACTGTAAAAAATTAAAGGCACCATCAGCATACAACTTCTCAAATCATGGGATAACTACTGCTTTAAAAGCGTGGCATTCTGTATAGTTTATATCAAATGGGAAATATTCCTTGGCTTATTTCTCCAGAGTACAGTCTTCCAAGCCAGGACTCTGTCTGATGTGTCAACTGCGAACCAGCAACTATGCGGTATTTATTATTACTGTGAACAGAACTCTAAATACTTCACTTGTGAAATTAGCCTCATCCATGACAAAGTTATATAATCACACAGCAAACGCTCTGCTTTGCCACCGGTGTTACTGTTAGACAAATCAAGCTGATGAAATGTATACTGCATCAGTAAAATGTAATTGAAAAGGAGTTTAGTAACAGTATATGCCCACTGTGTCTTCAGGTTCCCATAATTTTTGAGCTTCTAAACTTTCCTGGCCACATTTGAGCCTTATTTTGCTGTCTTCCAATTGTTACCCACATATAACTGATTGATTGTGCAATTCATTACTTGTCAGCATGCAAATGTGTTTTCTGTGTTTAATCCCCATTTGTACCATTATAAATCATGTTAAAATCTGGCTTTTTTGAATATTGATGCCCTTATAAAACAGTGGAGATGGCCGTGAGCAGGAATCATGAACCCAAACACAACTGAACTTTGGGAAGTTCTAATTCGAATTCAGATCTGAACTTTATAACTTGGGCCAGTAGCTACAAAAAACTCTCTTAGTTGGCTAATAAAGGGGGTGAGAAATAGCCAGTAGCCCAGGACAAATGATAACATAAAACTGCTACATTACAGAGATCCTACATTCATTTTCTTGTCAATGATTCTTTTAAAATATCATATTGGCTTGGGTTGTTTTATGGTGGAGGAATCTGGTAAAATATTATCCACAGGATGAGTTTATTATCTCTTTCTCATATCTAGTCACTGAGCTTTGGCTCCAATTTTGGCCCTCCTGTACTCTGCTTCTATTGTATCTTGTGTTTTTCATTGTAAAGAGAACTTGCGTTGCAAATTCCACATAAAGGAAGCATTGCAAAATCACACAATTCTTGCATACATTTTTTTGATGGGTGCCTGCCTTTAGCCTCTAGGGGATGTGCCATTTTAAAACACATAATTGTAGTACACCTAGTGTTTAAAACTTAATATAATGTTTTTGGCACTCCTTCCTCTTTCTTGGCCAGAGGTGGTGGTGATTCCAAAATTTAAATTGAGAGTTATGGTGAACTATGTGGCTGATATTTGTAAAGCTCTTCATGATTTAGGCCTAAGGAACCTGAGTGATTATATTCCTCTGCTGTGAGCCTGTAAAGCAGTTGTGATTGACCAGCCTGTCCTTGCTGACTTTCCTGAAGTTCAGACTGGATAGTGCCATTGCTTTGTCTATTCAGGGCCTCCCACTCTATGGACATTCTTCGCTAAATGAGTCTTCCAGAGTCCCTCTGAGGCTGACTTCAGGACTTTGTATAAGGCCTTTTTGTTTTGGCACTTACCTACCTACCTACAATGGGAAATTTGGTTTTTCTTTCAGGTGACCTCCCCCACTACCACTAACATACATGGGTTTCTGTCTGACATTTGAACATAATACATTTATTTTAAATCAAGAAAATAATAGCCCGCACTTAGCAGGAATCTGGGTGCTGGTGGAGCTCAGGATCTGTCGTCTTTGGGACAAGCCTCATATCTGTTTTCTTCTCTAGTCTATTCAGTGTTCACTGATGTCACTGGGAGTCCAGACACTCAAGAGGCAGTCCCAATGGTCTGAGAAATCTCTCCCCAAATCCTGTGCTTATGCAGCTAGGATCATTTACATTTCTGGCCAATGTTGTCTCCCCTTTTCAACAGCTCTTCTTTTCTGGATTATTTTCATTGTGTACTAACTTTTGGAACTCCTGGGAACAGGTCTCATGACTTACAGATTTAATTGTGCAGCATTCCGTATTTATGTGGAGCGTGTTACAGTTTAAAAGGGAACAATTTTAAAAAGAAATTGGCTTAATTACAGGAATGTCCAAGTGTCAAGAATATCTCAAACAGCAGCAGATGGGCCATCCTACTGATTTGATTCCCTTTCTTAGTCTCTTACTCTCCAGGCCAGCTGGGCTGGAACAACTAGGAAGGCAGAATATTCAGTCTTTCTCAAGAGTGATTTATTTGCAAGGATGAAGCTAGGAAAATTCTCCTCTGTGTGAAACTATCTGCCCTTTGCCTTGAAACCTTCATTAATTTCCCAGCCAAGGAATGTGTTTGTCTTCTTGTAATGCATCTATGAATATTATACAGATTATAAATAACACTTTCCTATGGTTTGCATTGTCCATTATGACCCAATATTTATCCGCTACAAGACTTTTAATGTGGCTCTCTCCACTTTTGCAACAGCAACCTCTCTGGGTGATTACAAAATGGCTCAGAAGGGCCTTCTCAGAAGTCTTTAACCGGAATGATGATGACTAATGTGGTACAAGATTCAGAAGATGTATATGTGGAGAGTAATAGCAGGAGAAAATGGGAGGGTTCCTCGGAGCTTCAGAGAAGTTATGGACCAATCTCATCCAGTTTTGGGGGAATAAAGTAGAGTCAACAACAACAACAAACCAGAGCACAGATAATGACAATAACATTTGTCTTGTACTTAAGGTTAACATAAAGATTATAAGAGGAATGCTAGTCCTGTCCTTCAGTACAAGTTTTTTTAAGAGTAAGAGTTAGCTAAATTTGAGCTATCATTTTGATTGTGATAGTAATAAAGGAAAAAAAGTCTAGTCTGACCAAGTGGGTCAAAACCATGCATTGCACTGCCCCATTGGGAGCTCAGTTTGAGTGCTGCTGTGAGGACTCAGAATTTGGGGGCTAAGGGAGCAGATGTGCATCACTGGTGAGACATGTTGCTAATTAACAGAACAAAGGATTTGGTTTTTGTCTGCATTTTTGGCAAAAGAAAAATGCAAATGGTGGAATTGGTATTGTCCAGAACAAATAGATGGGGGAACCAAAGGATCCTGTTGAGCCATTGAAGATGCACCCATCTTTCAAGCAATAAGATGTGGGGGGTCAACAGCAAAGAAAGACAGCTAGGGCAAGCTGGTGTTGACTTGTTCTGTTTTGGGTCTCTTTTCCTATTGTAAATAAAGACTCTAATGAATAATCAAATTCTTTCATGTTTTCACACTTACAACTATGTTTTGTTTCTTTAATAGGGCAAAAAGGATGTGTCCCAGATATTTAACAACATCTTGAGAAGACAAATTGGCACTCGAAGCCCTACTGTGGAATACATTAGTGCCCATCCACATATCCTGTTTATGCTTCTAAAAGGGTGGGTGTTCATTTTAATCTGAGTTTGATTTCCATTAAGCAGGATTGTCTGGAGCATGCTTGTATGGCATTTGATCTACCTTATACGATGGTTTAAAAAAAAAAAAGTGGATGAAATTTCAGCCTTAATTTCAGATTTCTTGGCTTCTGTTGACTTGCTACTACTTAAGTGGACACTTGTACACATTTCAGTACCTGCATTATTTATTTGGCCATGATTTCTTGGCCAAACTCCATATTGGGGTAATTACATTCTGACTGCTTTCCGCCTCTATTTTCCATGAGATACTCTCTTCCATTCCTGCCCTAAACTGTTGTGTAGGATTGATGGGTGCAGCTAAGTAACTGCTGGGTTCCCTTCACAGGTGGCTGCATTTCAGTAGTGAGCAAAATGATTCCTATAAATATTTGGCCAAATTCTGGACTATTGCATGTTGAGTAGAGAAGACTACAAGAAAGGTAGTGATGTCTGAAAGACATGCTCTACAACCCCTCGTGACCACATGGAAGTTCTTCCTCGTGGACTTTGCACGGTTGGGGCTCTGTGAGTTTTGGACTGACATTAGAGAGGGAGATGGAATCAGGGAACATGTTCCCCTCAACAACCAGCAGATTTCCAAGTGCAGATCAATGCAGAAGTTAATGCTGCTCTTTTCAGCATTAATTCTCCCTCTGGTTTCTGTCTCACAGAAGGAGTTAGTGCTCAGCTCAGAGGCCTCCAAGGTGAGCTATGCTGCCATGAAAGGGGACTAGGCAGCAGCACAGAGGGGATGTTAACTGCATTGATGCATGGGAATGCATGAGTGAGACCAAACTTCTCTGAGGTTTCTGTTCTCTCTGCTAGGCCACAAATCTCCCTGCCCTTATATTGAGAATCTTAGCTTTTCCATGGTTTGAAAGCTGCTATTTTCTGATCACCCTTTCATTTTTTTTTTCCTGGGGGAGGGTGAATATAGGCCCTTGTTTATAAAGAGCTTTAGGATTGTTTTGGATGAAAGTTACTATGTAAAAATAAGATGTTATATTGGTCAGTTAATAAATATAACCAGTTTAATCTCTTGGTTAACCATATAATAGCAGTACTGTTAAACTCAGGCATTCAAAAATCAGGAGATGGGCCCCCAAAACTGAGATTAAAAAAAATACATTTGGGGGTCTTTAATTACCTTTTTTGAGCCTTTAGGGTTTTAATTTTCAAGCTTTTCTCTGCAACCATGGATAGCAATTTACTGTTTACAAAAAATGCACTCTGGGATTTTCATATAACGACATAGCTCCATGAGCTGGGACTTTAAGAAAAATCCCAAATATTGCAAGACTCACAATGAAATCACAAGAGCTGGCAACATGCTCACAGCTCTGGTAATGATTTAAAAAAAAAATTGACTGTATTACTAGTTGGGATTTTTCCCCCCAGATTTTCCAAATTAGGAGCCTGCTCCTGTTGAAATTGGTGGCAAAATTCTGGTTGACTTCAATGGGAGCAGGATTGGGCCCACTATTTTTGATAAAGTTGTGGGATAAATACAGAAACTGACCCACTCATTGGTCTTAACATATCATTGGATTTAATAGTTTAACTTTATCCTTAACCTTGAAACTCAGATTTGTTTTATATCTGTTAATCTGAGTCACGGAGGCAGCAGATTTCTCAAAAGGATGCTAGCCAGCTATATGGATTTTTGTTGTTGCTGAATTTTAATTAATTAATGTCAAGCTACAGATTATGTATTGGGTGAATACTCTATTTCAGAAAACGAGTCTTAATGATTATGCCAATTTGTTTCTCTATAAAGTATTGGCATTTTGTTAAATTTAATGGTATTAAAATATATATAGCAAATTTTAATAAAGCAAGGCATGAAGTCCATTCACTTACTTGTATCAATAATGCATTTGTCTGCACAAATTTGGCATTTGCATGTGACTTATGTCCAGTTGTAATGATTGCATATACAAAAGATGATGTGCAAAAATGCACACAGATTTTGGGCGTCAACTACGAAGTGAGTTGGTTGATAATAAGTAAAACAAAATTCCCAAAGGAAATACTTTACAGCTCACTTATATAGTTGCTTCATTTTGATACATTCAAAGTACTGCCTATTTAATGTTTATGTGGTCAAATCCTGAAGTACCCTGCCTGCGAATACATTGCTCAAATGAAAAGCTACATTTTTGTTGCATTGAGACTAGTCTGCAGAGATTTGTGTGAGGGATTTCTATTCTTCTCTGCTGGCTGTAGATGTGACTTCCCTAGCAGGTCTCCACAGGAGAACATAGGCAGTAAGAAAGTGAGTATCTCCTACAAATGTGATTTGTGCTCAGCATGGAACTGCATGGGTCAAATCCTACAGAAAGGGGCATTTGAAGACCATCTCTGCTGCTCCCCAATCCCAAATACTTCAGGCTGGTCTACACTGAAAAGGTACATTGGCATAGGTACGTCTCAAGAGACGTAGCTATGCTGACCTAACCACTGGTGTAAACAGCGCTAGGTTAATGGAAGTATTCTTCCATCAACCTAGCTACCAGCTCTCAGGGAGACGTATTAATTACCGCAATAAGAGATCCCCACCTGTTGCTATAGTGAATGTCTACACTGAAGTGCTACAGCAACACAGCTGCAGCAGCGTTTTTAAGTGTAGATATAGCATCAGTAGTAGTTGTCTATAAACAGCTTGTGGGGCTAAGGATTTCTTCAATCTACCGTTTTGCAGCCCAGCTTCAAATGGCTATGAAGATATGTACGCTGTTCCTTTAAATTTCTAGCCGGAATCCAGGTAGGAGGGGCTAAGCAAGGTTCTACGCAGAAATTTGACAGTGAAGAAGAGAGAGGCAGAATAGCTGAAGAAATAATGTTTTTCTCGTGCTGATTAAGTTTCTTGTTCAGAGTTAGAGGAAAGCAACTCTCTATGACCCTTTTGCCTTGTCACGTGACAGTGATAATAGCTCCTTTAATCACTGCTTAGGTAAATTTCATAAATTTTTCTGTTGAGTAAGTAAAAAATAAATATTTGTCTAATCTTTAAATCAGTTTTTTAAACCATTTTTTCACCCCTTTTTGCTAGCTTTATCCTTTGGATTCTTCTTTCCTTCCTCCTCCCATTTTCTTTGGCACATTGCCTGGTTTTATACAGTGTGGCACAATTCTGTAAAATATTTTTGGATCGTGTCCCAAGTACTCTTTGGATTCTCTGTAAATAAATAGGGGAAAAAAAGATAATATGGAAGCTTATAATGTATATTGTAACATCAATGGGAATAGCACTATTAACTGTGCCAAAATATTAATGTATGCCAGTCCTGGAGAACCTTATAAGAAAGAACTAAAGAATTCTACTGGAATGGTCCAAAACTCTCACTTTTACAATATTACAGCAATATTTGGGGATTGCTGCCGAATGCTGTAACTTTTATGTACTCCTCATCATTGTGGCAAATCCCAAAGGTACATGGCCTCCTTGTAAATCAAGCACCACCTGAATTGATCTCTGTCAAGGTGCTTAATGTGGTCTAGCTGCACATTCAGCTTATGGCCCTCACTAGCAATCTTCTTGCACCACTGAAGTTTGTGGCACCTATGTGATCACTGGCCGTGTAGTGACATTCCTTAGTATACATGCTTCAGAATTCATTGGTCTTCAATTCTTATAACATGTCCATACCAAGAAAACAGCTGAAACTGAACCGTTGCTGATGGAGATGGCTGCTGGGTTTATTGGCTTTGAAGATCCTCATTTCTGAACTTGTCCTGCCACTTGATATGGAACAACTGACAAAGATGATGACGGTCGAAAACATCAATCTGATGTTCTTCAGCCTTTCTCAGCACCGCTTCCATATGATGGAGGTGATATAACCATGGTTCCATAGATCCGTAGCTTCATAGCAAGCTTGATGTCCCCTCAGAGGCTGCTGAACGGCATGAAACATGACAGCAGCTGCTGCCATACAAGCATCCACAGGCGCTGGCATCTAATTTTCCCTGGGGGTGCTCAACTCCCGCTCAGCCCCAGGCCTCACCCCCACTCCACCCAGCCTCTTCCTGCCCCCACTCCACCCCTGGTCATGCCTCCATTCCACCCCTTCCCCCAAGGCCTCACCCCACCAGCCTCTTCCCCACCTCTTTCCGCCCCCTCTCCCAAGCATGCAAGCCATGGTGTGCAAGAGGTGCTGGGAGGGGGAGGAGATGATCAGCACGGGCCGCCAGTGGGTGGGAGTGAAGGGGGGGAGCTTGGTTCCTGCTGGGTGCTAAGCACCTGCTAATTTTTCTCTATGGAGACTCCACGGAGTCGGCACCTATCCAAGCATCTACATCTTTTGAGCATTCTCCAGTGCTGTCTGACACTGCCCGAGTATTTAACAGTTGCTACCTGGACAGATTTTTACGGAGCTGGTTGTAATCTGGATCTGAGGGCTGCTTGATGGGAATGGCCAGGGGCTTAGTTTTATCCAGATTAATTACCAGATCAACATGCACTGCTTCTTTCCTGACCAGATCGGCCATCAGCTGCAGCAATTCACCACACTGATCCAACAAGACAATGTTATTGGTGTATTCAAGATCTCGAAGCAGAATAGTGTTCAGTTCAATGCCACCGATGGCTGCCTCCTGAAGATTATCTATCAACCAATCAATACCAGTATTGAACAAAGATGGTGACAGAATGCAGCCTTGCTGAACTCCCATGGAGATAGGAGACCATGCCATTTATCTGCCTTTGACTCAAACACAGCTTTCTGTTCCTTTATAGAACTCTTTGTGCTCTCTCTTGATTGATAAAACTTTTTTATACAAGGGATCTTAATAAGATGCCTTGAGCCTGTAATACATTTGAGCGAACACAGAGGCACCTATCTGCATGGATCCAACTTTGGGGTTGAGTTCCAACTTCCACAACTTATAGTAAGTGCCTAACGTAGGGGTAGGGCCCCAAGCCTGCAATTTGTTGCATGTGACCAGTCTTCTGTGCTCATGTGCCATGAATTGCAAGATTGGGTCTATGTGCTTAACTTAGCCCTGTATTTCCTTTGTTCACTTTTTTTATTGATTATGTATTTTCTTGTGAATATAATATTTCTTTAAAAAAGGAAGAAAAACTGAAACAAACCCAAAGTAATGCCACAAGTATTCTCTCCCTATCTCCCTCCCTGAATTTGGCCATCTCTGTTATAAAATTATAGGATGCTATCTCTGACATATATTTTATTTAAAAAATAAGTCAATCAGGATGTATGTTTTACACACAATTGTAGAAAAAACAGCACAGAACTATCATGAAGGCAAGTCATTGTTTGCGCAGTATTGAATGAAAAATTTCCATTGCCACCTGACAGTCAGTTCCCAGCAGCAACAACAAAAGGTCACTTTGTTCACTGCATAATGTGAGCTCTGTTGTTAAGTGGGAAGATTCCTGAATACGCTCTCCTTCCCAGCATTTCCTGTGTAATACTGCAGTGGCACTGCCAGCTTGAGATAACTATTATTACCTCCGGTCTTCATTTTACTTCTCGGTTAATCCCTCCCAAATTGTTAGCTTCACAAAAAGACTCAGCAAACGGTTGGTTGGTTGTTTTTGTGTGTGTGTGTGTGTGTGTGTGTGTGTGTAATATAAAAAGAATAGGATAATTGACTTACCTGCTGCCAAGGGGACTAACTTTAATGGTTTTGTGTTTTCCCTTTATGGAGGCTCAGTATGATTTGCAGAGTGCAAATAGGACTTCAAATGAATGTAGCTTTTGGTATATAAATTAGCAAATGTCCTTGGGCCAAATTAATCCCCGATGTCCATTGGAATCCATTGCATTCAGTGGTGTTAGACCAGGGATGAATTCAGTCCCCGTGATGTAAAATAATGTATAACTTTGTACCAGAGAAAATTACAGCAGACTTCAGTTCAGGTGCTAGGATGGCATTCTGTACATGAAAGAAATCAGAGTTCAAAATCTCCATGAGCCACCTTGCCATGCTGTGTTTCTGTGCTGTACTCCATTGCTGCCTCCTTTCTGAATAGGGATAATATCTGTACTATTACAGCATCACTAAAGGCTTGATCGTGTGCTCATTAAAGTCAATAGCAAAACTCTCATTGACTTCAGTCGTGTAAGGTCAGGCCTAAGAAGCTGAGGGGGATGTGGCAATTTGTCAAGAAGTCTCTTCTTGTGCCCCTCCAGTCTTGATGCCCTGCTTGTCTCCTCCTTCCACCCTTATCTCCGTGTTTTCTTCTATCCTGCCCCCACTGTGCCAACTGACTTCTATTCTCCTTCAAGTCTCTCTTTGACTTGCTGATTTCACAGTGTCCACAAAAATGAGTTGTAAATATTAAAAAGGTGATTTCTTCTTCTGGGTTTCCCAGTGCATCCCGTGTTCAGTGTCTAACTTTTAGGTTGTAAGTTCTTCAGAACAGGTAGGATCTTCATTTTGTGTCTTTATACCATTGAGCACATTTCAGCTAATAATAACTAATCATCACTAAAAATGCTGTATTAGCATCTGGTAATGGATTACTTTCCCTCCTGGTTCTCTGTTAAATTCCACAGTGGCTCTGAATGGAACTGCTGTGCAGACAAAGTGCTAATTATGGCCAGACAGCTGGTAATCTTCTTTCAGGTATATTCCAGGAGCCAAATACAACTTGCCTTACTTATGTAGCCCCAGTGACATACCAAATGACTTAAGGGTTCTACTGCATTTACTTACAATGATACCTGTGTTTTTGGAAGTGTATTGTGTTGGCAAAAATATAATTTATTTATATTCCTCCTAAAATGTTGCCCACCCCAGCCATTAAACATTTCCTGGCCACGCTCCTAGAAGTGACTCTGCCTCTTCTGTTTGAAAATGTGCATTTGTAGTACTAATGTGACCTGATGCAGTAGAGAAGAGGAAACTCTTAACAGAAAACATCAGTGGACATTTACTATATAAAGAGTCATATGTTTAGTGTGCAAATGGCCCCCCAAATGATAGAGACATGCTTGTCATCAGCTGCTTGGGATTTATTTTCGTTTGAGGCAAGAGGAGCTTCATTTGACTCTTGAATCAGTGGTTCATTTTTCACTAGGCCAGCTATTGTAGTCGTCACATGGAAATATGCAGCCTTAGTATGCTCTGGAAACACTACCATTCTTTTTAACGTGGAAGCTGGTGGTGAATTTGAAAGGCCCACTCACTCACAGCACAGATGGCAGTCTGTCTTATTTTTTAGCCTGACAGTAGAAATTAATTGTGCAGAGAAACAATAAGGTAAATAAGCTTTGGCTAACAGTCAACCTATTGAAGCAGAGTTTCCTCTCTGTTCATTTGGGCCCTGTCATTTTCAGCTAAATGAACATTGTTAAAACATGTTCATTGTGTAGTAATTTAAATGTTGCAGGGGGAGGAGGTTTGGGGTTTTTTTGGGTGGCTAAATCACATCCATTTTTTTCTTGAAACCTTGCATGCTTTATTTCAGTGTGCACTTTGACTTAAAGGCGATACAGTGTGTTACATAGGAATTAGAGAGAGATGACTCTTCCCCCCCCCCCCCCCCCGGGTTTACAAGTGTGGTTGCTGCTGTACAATACAGTGTCTTCGCCATAAGGTGGTTACAACCTGAGGGCCAAATGCTGGTCTTCTGAACAAATCTCCACGGAGACTGAGATGAACAAAATTCTGCCCAAACTCCCAGGCTACAGAATAGGTCATCAGAACTGCAGAGAGACAGACACTGAAGAGGCTGCATGGATAAACTCTTCCTCTCTTGCTTGTTAGAGATTAGTGTTCCAGTGGAGTCTTTTCTTATTGCAGAGTGGAGAGGGGCAAAAACATGGTCTATGAGGCGGTATATATTTTACTTATAAAAGTTAAGGGTCTCCGAGTTATTTAAAAAGGGGGTTGGAATATACTGTATTTGGTTTACCCTCTCAATGCCAAAATGGTGAAGGAATTCTGTTCAAAATTTTCAAACACACCCCAAAATCACCTTTCAGCAGAGGCCAAGCATAAAAATTTCAATGGAAATGTAAGTATTTCAAAAATTTTAGTTTTCATTCCAACCCCTCCCCCCCCCATTTTTTTGTACTATTAGCAACCTTAATTATATAGCTCAGGGGTTCTCAAACTGGGGGTCGGGACCCCTCAGGGGGTTGCGAGGCCATTACATGGGGGTCCTGAGCTATCAACCTCCGCCCCAAACCCCACTTGCCTCCAGCATTTTTAATGATGTTAAATATATTAAAAAGTATGTTTAATTTATTAGGGGGGGTCGCACTCAGAGGCTTGCGATGTGAAAGGGGTCGCCAGTAAAAAAAATTTTGAGACCCACTGATGTTTCTCAAGTATGGGTCCAAGCCATGAAGGTTGGATCCAGTGTTCTGTATTAGGGCCTTCTAGTATGTGTTTCTGTTGGTAGATGCATCTTATATGTGGTAGGCAATTGCCCATTTATGCTTAAAATAACCCTCTTTGTCTGGTGCTTTTTCATACTCTAGGTACGAAGCACCACATATTGCCTTACGCTGTGGAATTATGCTGAGAGAATGTATCCGGCATGAGCCACTTGCCAAAATCATCCTTTTCTCAGAACAGTTCAGAGACTTTTTCAAATATGTGGAAATGTCAACGTTTGACATCGCTTCTGATGCCTTTGCTACATTTAAGGTAAATTATTTGATGTCTATGGGAACTTTACAATGTTGGGTTTAAAACAGCACTCCTCCCTCACTGGCTTTAGACTGTTGGATGCGGTATAGTACACAGGGATTGGGTTTTTCTTTCTAGTAGACTGCTTTTTTTACTGTTCGATAGAGAGGACTAAATTCATCCCTGGTCTGATTGTGACTGGATTTACAGCAGGGATAGTCAGTCCAGAGTCTTTTGTATCCCCACTTTGAACTTTAGGGTACAAATGTGGGGGCCTGCATGAGGACTCCTAAGCTTATCTACCAGCTTAGCTCTGGTCCGCTGCCACCATCTCAAGAACTCCCTCCCTGGGAAGCCTTGAGAAACCTTTCACCAATTCCCTGGTGAACACAGATCCAAACCCCCTTGGATCTTAAAACAAGGAGAAATTAACCATCCCCCCTCCTTCCTCTCACCCTCCTTTCACCAACTCCGGGTGAATACAGATCCAAACCCCCTTGGATCTTAAAACAAGGAGAAATCAATCTGGTTCTTAAAAAAGAAGGCTTTTAATTAAAGAAAAAGGTAAAAATCATCTCTGTAAAATCAGTATGGAAAATAACTTTACAGGGTAATCAAACTTAAAGAGCTCAGAGGACCCCCCTCTGTCTTAGGTTCAAAGTACAGCAAACAAAGATAAACCCTCTGGTAAAAGGTACATTTACAAGTTGAGAAAACAAAGTAAATCTAAGACGCCTTGCCTGGCTTTTTACTTACAAGTTTGAAATAGGAGAGACTTGTTTAGAAAGATGGGGAGAACCTGGATTGATGTCTGGTCCCTCTCAGTCCCCAGAGCGAACAACCCCTTAAAACAAAGAGCACACACAAAAGCCTTTCCCCCCCCAAGATTTGAAAGTATCTTGTCCCCTTATTGGTCCTTAGGGTCAGGTGTCAGCCAGGTTACCCGAGCTTCTTAACCCTTTACAGGTAAAAGGATTTGGGGTCTCTGTACACAGGAGAGCTGTTTCCCTTCCCTTTATAGTTATGACAGATGTCCTTCATCCTGATGTTCCAAGGCATTTTGTATAACCATTTAAAACTAAAATTAGCCATGTATCACATATAATCCCTTAAAAAATAATATATGGGATGAATCATTTTAGTCATTCACAATGTTCCTTACTTCATCTTATTGCTCTGAGTTTGGTCCTTACACACCACACTGCTTAGCCATAGTTATAGATAGGACAAGCTTTTCTCATAGATTCATCTTAAAATATTGGCAGTTCTACAATCCAGTCCTACATGGTACTCATTGCCTTCTCCTTGGGGATCTGTGGGCTTGGAGCACCAAGCAGGTTCAGATTTTAAGGCCTTGATCACTGCAATTTCTTGCATGCAGACAGGCTACTACACCCACGCAGAACCCTAATGAAGTCACTGGGACTTTGCATGGGTGCAGCAGTCTGGAAAATACAATGAATTTCAGGATTATGGCCTAAGAGAGTAATTGCTATGCAGACTCAGATGACTTGTTCTTAGATAATTTAAAACAAAGAGAATGATTTCTTTAAAGTTCAGGAACCTGAGGCTGCAGCAGCCGTTAGGTTTTTATTCTTCAGAAGCAGAGTTAGGCAAATAAATTCCATGAATATTTGCGTGAATAGTTAAATGAAGTACCTTTCACAGTATTCACAATCCTTTATTTTGTTTGTATCCAGATTTAAGTACAACTTAAAAGAAATCCTGTCTGGGCTCTAGGTGCCCTTATTGTTAAATTTAAAATAATTACAAAACCAAAACATCAGCATGCTTTTTGGAGTACGTTTGCAAATTGGTTGTTACATTGATCCGATCACAAAACAGATGTAAATCGTATGATTAATGTGATCAATCACAATGCAACAACACAATTCAAATAGCAAGCTACAGAGTCAACAAAATTAATGAAAGTTTTGTTGAATAATTTTGATGAATGAATAAAATATGTGACTTTCTTAATCTGTGCACAGACATTCTACAAACTGAGAAGGGGCAAGGACCTTCCCCACCTTGGGAGGCCCATGTAAGGGCCAGATGTAACTGCTGTATCTGCACTGCTTCCATATTCTTGGAGGAGCAGGGAGGTGGAATCAAGACTCTGTTCCCCTCCTCTGCACCATTCCATGGAGTGGGCCTGGCACACACAGAAGAAAAAACTGGCAAGGCACACCACCGAAAGGAGTGTAGTAGTGGTTTTGAGTCCCCTATGTACTGCATCGTTCAAGGAGGTATTCTGCCTCCATGACACAGAATATCTCCCAGTGGTCTCCATGGGGAGGTGTGGCCACATACCACTTTTTACCATAGGCTGTGTTTAAATGGCACAGTTTAGTTCATTATTGTTTCAGGGAACTGAGTTCTGACATTGTATGTGGAAGTTTATCCTCACTAAGTCCTTGTGGACTGATGCTTCTGCTGAGATGAATAATGTAAATCTTAACCAATAGAAAAGACATCACCACATATTTCAAACAGCAGTAAAAACAGACTGAAAGAATGACTGCCAGACACCTTCAAACCTGGCTCTGTGACTGCAACAGGATAACAGATGCTTGTGCAGAAAAATAATACCAGTCCCATAATAAAGCAGATTTTGCCAGCTTCGGCCCAAACAAAATGCACTCATTCCATGCCTGAAGTGAGTGACATGCTAAACACATAATTAAAAAAAAAAAAAGCTCTTTTTTTGCTTAGCCATCCTGGACAAAAGGCTGACATAATTATTAATACCACTTCCAAAGATGTGCTAGGAGATTGGTAGCATGGGTAGTTGAACAAGGTCCATGCCCTAAGGACTTTAAATTGTCAAGTTTTAAACACTGCACAAGTGAGAATAAGAACAAACAAGAGGGAGGACTTGAAACATCTCCCCTCTGATTGACATCTCTGCCACTTGGTTTAATATCAGCTTTTCATCAGATCAGTATGGTACCATGTACTAATAATTTCCAATCAGTCAGCTATTTCATCCGACCAACTTTGCCTAAATCTTTCTTCTAAGCAATTCTGGGGTGTTGCCTCCCACAGCTTGTCTTGGTTTTGCAATGTCATTTGTGAACTCTGATAGCAGCATTAGGAAGACTCACTGGAAAGCAATGCCTTCTCAACTAGGTATTTTTTGGGACCTTCCTAAACAAGGTTGTCTCTGGTTTTGACAGGCCTGGCATCTGGGACCTCCATGTCCATGGAATGGTTGTGAAGTAGGAAATGCTGTGTTATTTTACCATGCTGCCTGTTACTCAGTTTAGAGAGACAAAGCCTGTGAGGTAATGTCTTTTATTGGACCAACTTCTGTTGGTGAGAGGGACAAGCTTTCAAGCTACACAGAGCTCCGCTTCAGGTCTGGCTTTGTACTGTCCACTAATAGATAATGTAAGAATTTTGGCTGACAAGTAATTCAGAGATTAGTCCTTATGTATGTTGCCATCTCAAAAGGATGGAGAACATGCATAAGTTGCTATAATGTGCACTGTGGACAAGAGAGTACTTGGGTCAGTGTAGTCCTTTTTAAACAAAAAACAACAACTGGTAGATCCAGCAATACCATGCAGGAGTCTGCAAACTTATAGCCAATGCCCATTTAGTATATTGTTAGAAGAAATATAAGAATCCCTGAAGAGGGCACCAACTTCGATCGCGTGTCTCCCACCCCATAATAGAGGGTTCCACATGCTCATTTCCTCCACTGCTTTGTCCACAAAAGGTTCCCTTTGTTCCTACCTCTTCAATAGTATTCCAATCATTTAAAAAGAAGAATGACTAATTGCATTACTGCTGTTCCCAGCCCCAGCACTGTGGTCATGGAGTTGGTGCCAGGCTATGCAACAAAGCACCTTTGAGCTGTATTAGGGACTGCAGACTGCTTTGCCTCCTGTGTGTAACCAACAGATCCATGTAACTTGAAAACATTTCCAATACAGCCTGACTGGATCAAAGGTGCCACATGCACCTGTACTGGTCACACGGTCCTAGGACTGCAGTACAGCGATGCGGCAAATTTTAACTGATGGCTCTGTAAACTTGTAGTTCATGAGACTAGTTTAGAATAAAGAAATAAACTGGTGAAAATAATTACCCTGTGATTACACAGTACTTACCATGTAGGTCTATATTTACTTTGTATGTTAGGTGAGGGTTGTAAAATAGAGGAATTCATGCAGAATCGTAGGTGTCATTTCAGTCTCATTTTACCTCAGTATTTTTTCTTCCCTTTTCCTCCATGTTTAATGATACTTCACAATGCATATTTGTAGCAGTGCATAAAAAAATCTCTTCCCATAATTCTGGAAATGGGAATAGTGCTGCATCTTACATTACATGAAGTTTTTAGGATAAAGGTCAAGTTGGCAAATGAACTTAGTAGGGAAGTAACAGTAAGTCTGTAGATTTGGATTTAGATGGGGAGGGGGGGAAGCAGAGCCACAGTGAGTATGGATGTGGGAATAGAGCAGTGACAGGCAAGGTTAGATGGTAATCATAGAACTGGAAGGGACCTTGAGAGGTCATCTAGTCCAGTCCCCTGCACTCAAGGCAGGACTAAGTATTATCTAGACCATCCCTGACAAGTGTTTATCCAACTTGCTCTTAAAAATCCCCAGTGATGGAGATTCCACAACTCCTAGGCAATTTATTCCAGTGCTTAACCACTGTGACAGTTAGGAAGTTTTTCCTGATGTCCAACCTAAACTGCCCTTGCTGCAATTTAAGCCCATTGCTTCTTGTCCTATCCTCAGAGGATAAGAACAACAATTTTTCTCCCTCCTCCTTGTAACAACCTTTTATGTACTTGAAAACTGTTATCATGTCCCCTCTCAGTCTTCTCTTCTCCAGACTGAACAAACCCCATTTTTTTCAGTCTTCCCTCATATGTCATGTTTTCTAGACCTTTAATCATTTTTGTTGCTCTTCTCTGGACTTTCTCCAATTGTCCACATCTTTCCTGAAATGTGGCACCCAGAACCAGACACAATACTCCATTGAGGCCTAATCAGCACGGA